CATGGTTTAATCACCATTACTGCATTAGAAATATTATTAAAAAATGTTTTAAAACTAACGACTACAGTTTGATTACAGCTACTCAAAGCGCACGATCTGATAAGTTGCGCAAAACGACTTTTCAACCAAGGGCTACTGGTGTCTACAGACCGAGGGTGTTTCTTATTTATTAATTTAAAAGCAAAAGGATTGTAATATCTTATAAACGACATATAGTTTCAGTTATATTATGGATAAATTTGTCCTAAAATGAACATCGGTTGGTTAAAAGCATTTAGGTATAAATATAGGCAGTGGCTACGGGTACGGTAGCCGTATCTTAATGTCTTGAGGCTACGGGTACGGGAGTCCATTCGCTTTCATACTTAACGAGACAAAGATGCCGGCGGTGACGCCAGATTTCGAAATAACGCCTTGGGAAATAAATTCACGATTTGAGAGTTTAGATGAGCTAGAACCCTAACCCTAAACCTAACCATAAACCTAACCCTAACCATAAACCTAACCCTAACCCTAACGCCAAAAAGGGGCTTCAACGACCGATGGCTACCGTACCTCCAGCCACTGCGATAAATATAATTGCACCTTTGTGATTAGCCCTCGGTCTGTAACGTGCAAAATAAATTGGCAAATGCGCAACTTTTTCAGGGTCGCAGCACGGTCGCGGGTGTCAATGGCGCTGTTCAAATTTTGTAGCGTTGATATATAATTAATTATAATAATTAAATTGGGTATCTGGTAACAAATACGTGTGGGTGTAGATGATTTGTTATACAGTAAGTACAGTTGTATGCAGTAAAATCCTAGAGTCTAGTATCCCTTTAATTTACGTAATTACTACATAAAGATGAACTTTTCCAGGAACATGGGAGCAAAGAAAACTGGTCTAAACCTTCACATCGTTGCACCAGGCTGGGCGAATGGAAGAGGAGGAGGCAGTGTGGGAAGAGGTGGAGGCGGTGTGGGAAGAGGTGGAGGCGGTGTGGGAAGAGGTGGCGGCCGGGGGCGGACAGTAGGCTTTGACGCTCGGCAGAAGCTGCAGTCTAAAAGCTTTGACGCTCGGCAACTGCTTAAGCCTAAAATAGTGGATGCTCGCGAGAAACTCAAACCAAAAGATGCGAGAGCCAAGCTGAATGCGAAGAAAGGAATGGTGGCGGTGGTCGACGCCAGGCAAAAGATACAAGCTCGCCACAATGTGCAAGTCAAGCAGTCAACAGTACCAACATCCCAAATCATCACTACCGTACGTGCGGATTATAGGGCTGTAGTATCGATTTTACGTGATTAAGCTGTGTCGTCTGTATGATTGATTCACGATGTGAATAACTCTTGCTAAATTGGCTGGTGCACACTAATCCATTGTGGTCGCAAATCCCTCATGATCTATGTACATTACAAACATATCAATCACACCAAGTTAAAGAAATGGACTGGCAGAAGTAATATATAATTCATCAGCATGTACTATGTTTAATGTTATCATCGAAATACCATTGATTATTGTATAATACCCATTGCATATAATCGTGGCTATTCTATTTGTGTATAGGTTGGCAATTCCTCCACTTTACCTAACTGGTCAACAGGTGTCCAGCCACATGTCATACGCACAGTAAGTTACATTTGTAATTATGACTCGATAACCAGCCTATTTTACATCTACTCGTGTCTGTGATAAAATGCATAGTAATGCAATCTGAGTTTAACCAGATTCCTATTTTCATTTCCATGCTGTATACTACAATCTGCCGTGTTTTAAAGAACCCCTTAGTATATATAACATATTTTGATTCTGTAAGTCACTAGTGTGTATGAGTATGAGCTGCAGGACCATAAACATGTAACATGGATTATACATAGGATTAGGAACTGGACTGTCATGATTAATTACAGCATTAGTGTAGTATTTGCTTTTGACTGTATTGTGAAACCTATTACATAAAAATCATGTATGCACACATATTTCTGTTATTAGATATTCACTTTTATTACACAGTGAATTTCACATCGAGGCCAATCAATGTTCTTCTTAGAGTCTAACTGCCATGGTTCATGCCAAATATATGCAAATAACGTAGATTTGATTCTCGTCTTCGCCGTAGGTGGATAATGAGCTGTTTGGCGCCAATCCTTCTCCCACACCTACTCCTGCATTTCCACTGCGAAGAGGAACATCCAATATTCTAATGAGGAGGACAGCTGGGAGGTTGACAACTACCCAGCCTGGGACAGAAATTGTGGTAGGCATGCGCATGTGTAATCCCATGCCGCTAAATGTGTTTAAACCATTTCAGTCCTTCATGTTTGCGCCCAGTGGCGCAAATATTGTCATTCTGCTGACTTTAGTTACAGGACTGTATCCTGGGTATCGTATCTAGTTACAACATCTTGCTCGTGTTTAATGCAGGGTTTCTTATACATAGGAGGCACAGTGGCGCCCCGCCTTTGTCAAATTTAACATCGCCATTGTGAAAATGTACCTGTATTTACTGATAAGTATATCCTGTATCTATATACCTATAAGTATATCAATACATTCTGTATTTGAATCCCTAATGCACGTTTTTTCCCCAAACTGGCCACTACCTCCTTTGTCTAATTCACCCTCAGAAGAAACCCTGTAATGGTTTATGTGCTAATGATATTTTCACAAATGCGCTCGCCATAGGAAAGGTCCGTGGATGGCGATAACGGCTTCACGGTCACGTTGAGGAACGACGACCGACAGAAGTGGCCGGCCGTGCGACCGCAACTGCGCACGCGAGGCAACCTGATAGAGCTGCAGCCGATGCGGTCGCAGTCGCTCGTGCGGCCAGGCGCCGTGGCAGAGCAGCCGACGAGGACGCGGTCTCTCATGCGGGCGGACGCGATGCCACAGCAGCCGACGAGGACGCAGTCTCTCATGCGGGCGGAGGCGATGCATGCGTCGCAGCAGCCGTGGCAGGGCGTGGTTCGCGGAACCCCTGACGTTCCCATGGTAATGTATAACTGCCGTTGCTATGGTCGCGCGCAACTCCTGTTGCTACGGTGATTTGTAACTGCTATTACTGTGCTAGTGCGTGGCTGTTGTTACTATGCTGGTGCTTAACTACTACTGCAGTAGTAGTGTAAAACTGATTTTGCTATGGCAAGGTATAGAGTATAGACACCATGCACCAAAATGTTGGCCCTCGCTACAAAGCATCCGTAGTTGATCGTGTGTACTATATTGCTACTAGCTGCTGTATCACTAAAATTGTATCGCAAGGAATTTTGCGGCACCCGTAACGCAGGTGCTTTTGATGCCATGCAGAAAAGAAACTACAATGAGGAAGACGACTTTCCCATTACAATCAAGAAGAGGATCACAAGTGCAAAAATTCCAGAAGTTGAGGTACGAATCTTTCAGCTCCATGCTACGAAATTAATTTAGTATCTATACGTGTATTCATGTATCTATACGTGTATGTATACATATACACGCCAGGGGTTAATAAACGCAAATTTGTTTGTCATTATTAACCCCTGATACACACATACACATGCATTCATGCTTGCACAGTCTTCCTGTATTTTTCAGGAGGTGGTGGTGGAGGAAGATATCATCAGCCCACTTCAAGGCTACAAGGTACTAGTAACCAACCTGCACCCTGATGTCACAGAGGAGGATGTTGTGGTATGTAGTTTATTGTCGAGTTACTATTATGGCTGTTGAGAGGGTTCCCAGTGTGGGGTGAAACTGGGGCAGTACTGGATAACTGTAGCAATTTTTTTAACCCTGACGAAAATTGCCAACATACACATCAAGAAAGTTGGAAATTCCATAAAATATTGTTGCAAATTGAAAAATAGGGAGTGTGACCGAATAGTTTGATTGTGAAAGGTAAAAACAACAATACCATACAAATAGCAGCAGTTTTTGCATTACACATGGCAGGCACTGTACGATTTTCCCTGTGTCTGACTGCGGTGTGTTCTCTCTCCTTTAGGAGTTGTTTGGTGCTGTTGGTGCGCTGAGAACGACTCGGCTGTTGAGACCGAGCCAGGGAGAGGTGGTGTACGTGAAACGCGAAGACGCTCTTGCTGCCTGTCGTAGATACGACTCGCGCGAGTTGGACGGTAGGTGGCACGCCTGCTGTTGTCATCCTGATCTTAATTGGCATTTGAACTTGAACGTCATCTTTCCAAAGTCGTCTCTCAGGAATTTTTATTAAGGAAGTTTGTTCATGAATGCAGTCTGATTTGGTGACTTAAGTTGATCGTATTTGGGAGAAGAAACCGACAGAATTAAACGAATGTGAACGCATTGGCTTGCAATTCTCACCGGTGTCCCTTCTGGCTTGGAGGAGGGGGAAGACCCCCTTGAGAATGCGTGCTCAACATTAAAATTACGTGGTGGACGTGGGACGGGGAGTCAAACCGATGCGGATACGTTGCAGGTCAGCCGATGTCGGTGATACTCCTAACCTCGGGCAAGCCTGCCGCGACGACCTCTGACCTCAGAGGCGAGCTTCTGCCTGTGAGAGCGAAGGGTTCTCAGCAGCCGGTGCCCGCCGTCGACGTCGGTCTCATCCACGATGTGCTCTTCAAGAAGACGCCGGCGCCCAAAGTGCGTCCGGTCACCTTCCGAGTCAAGATATGAATCGGGGTTTGGAGTTCCGGATTATCGATGCTTTGTCGGCTGTAATATATGTGAAATTGGCTTGGCGATGCTGCTTGCCACGGGTTTGGTGTTGGTGAGAGAAGAAGATGAGATGTGCACTGTGTGCCGTGGTCGAGGTGCATGTGCGTGAGTGTTTTGTGTGTGAAAGTGTGGATTAGCGTCAACCCAACTACGACTACATTATGTCTCGAAGCTGGACGTTATTTCCACGTAAAATGTCTTGATTGAGATAAAGCTTTTTCCAATCGCTGCGGTTTGTACGGGGGAGTCACGATTGTCAGCTTTTATTATGTTGAAACCCAATTACAGGAGATGCATCAAAGAACACTTGTTGTCTGATTATGTGTATCAGTGTATGTACAGAGGAAGAAGGTCGTACATACTACATAGTTAAATGTTTATATGATAATGTTCTAGCGTAATGTTCAACTGTTACATAATAATTTCCCTCGGTCGTTTGTTGCCATGTAGTGCACTTCATACTTTATTCACATCATAATCTAGTACGTGTAGATGCAATTATCGTTTTCTGAATTTCAGTCAGAAACATAAAGAAAAATAATTCAGTTTCAACCTATGATGGAGCATATATTTGGTGCATGCAAAAGAATTTTGTTGTAGAAGCTGCCGCCAGCCTTACATTACACTATCATTTTTTGTTAAAGTAATTTTATTTTGCTACTTGCAATTAGGAATTTTTGGTGGCACTAGATGTAAATTCATCGTATTAAATTTTTTGAATGAAAGTCAATGTCAGTGGTCGAAATTAAATTTGGAGTCCAACCCTCCCTACCCTCAAAATGAGGGAGTCCACAGTCTGAGGTTCAAAATTAAAGATATTAACAATAACGCATGTGCTTATCATGCGGTTGCACGTCTGTCAAATTTTTAACTCCTGTTAATTTCGCACCCTGCAATGTATTGTCTATATTATTTGATAGAATGAATCGCACAAATAAGCAGGAAATATAAGAATGCACGTTTTCTTTTGTACATTAATAGTTTATTTGCATTTCGTTTGGTATTACACATTCATTTCAGTAATGAGAGAAGCACCGATCATTCAAGGAAAGATATTTGTCTCGCAGGGTTGCGCACGAGCACACAGAGAAGACGTATCCGGCACAGCTCTCTCATTCAATTATTCATTCACTACCTTTAAGTACGGTTCTTCCTATATTACAGTTTGCCGTGCATCCAAACTAACAAACCTTCAAGCTAAAAAACATCTCCCCTAAATACTTTTCTACATAAGTAACAACCTTAATAAAATACCAACAATTTTTCAATGATATGATTAACGTTTTTGACGCTATGGGGGATACCTTGAATTATTCACATCGCTAACAAGGATTTGCCTGAGTAAATGGCAAAGGTTTCTATGTTAAGTAGGCATTAGACATGTATAGGTAGAACTGATTTAGACATGCAAACAATAAATACTTGCTACATTAAATATGGTAATAAATAATTATAAGGACTACAAATTCCTAAGCTTACTTTGTTGCACCTAACGTCTATGTCATTATAGCTACTGACAACAATCCATTCACTAACAAAATGACAGATAAAAAAATCAAATCTCACAATACTGCTCACAAAAATAGTTCTAAAACTTGTCAATTTGATTTTTGGGTAATTTCACCATGTTTACGTGTCAAAATAAATACACATTGCAACACGTGTTGCAAAACATTTTTTAAATGTGTCCACCTGTGGCAAATAGACAGCCAAACTCCATCTCACGTGTATGCTTGCTAGTTACATTTGCTAGTACAGGTAAATTAATAGATTCTGGCTAAAAAAAACTGATTTTAAATATCAGCGTGTAGATGAACAATTTTATAATTCAATCATCCACTGTTTAGTTACTCTGTTGGTAGAAACCCACGGTTTTCAGTCTATTCCATGATGACTAATTACATAGTTCTACATTGCACACATCACCTGTGTGCACGAGATCAGACATGTTTACAGGTACGTACGTATCTGCCTGCACAGGACTATACGACCCCCCTTTGCAGGGCCGTAGCCCGGGGGAGGAGGCAGCTGCACCCCCTCTAGATTTTGCGAAAAACTAAAATGAAATTGTGAATGTAAATGTCACCTAAAAATACATGTAGACGTACGTGAAACCCTCCTCTCTGGCCCACACCCACCGCACTATGCCAGTTGACTGGGAGCTGCGCTCCTCCCTCATCATCACTCGGCTGCATCAGGAAATTTTGCCTCCCTCCCCTAGAAATTTACGCAGGCCACGGTCCTGCTTAATATTGCACGTCAGCAACCTAACAACCTGAATCCATAATTTGGCACACACACACACACACACACGCACGCACAAATACACGTACTTTCTCAGTTCGCATGACTAGCATTTACGGAGGCACTTCGAGTTACGCGTCATTTTATAAAAAGCCCGAGATCGAGTAGAGCGCAGTCGACTATAACAACACTCCTGTACAGTGACATCCGACCGGCAATGGCACAAGAATGAAACGATGGGTACTGCATGTATACTTGCACAGACACGGGACCGGTCTCCATCCCATTCTGTCCACACAACACACGGTTGCGCATACTGGCGCGCTACACTATTGCAACTGTTATCGGCACATCATGTTACTGATCACCGAAGGCTGACTGTGCGCAAAGCAAAGAGAAGTATACGAACTAACTAGTACGAGTAGAGAGAGTACGAAGTAACAGCGAGCGAATATAATCGACGATACTTATCGGTTATCTTACATTACATGTTCGCCGATCTTATTACATGATGCCCTGAAGCATCAGGGACAGCTGCAGAATCTGTAGAATACACGGCAATCTGGTTGAATAAGGGATATGTATAGTTGCGAGTTTCGGGCTTATATTGGCAAAATGGCGAGAGACAGAAGAATAGTACAATGTTACCTAGAATTGTCAAGGCAAGCGTGCTCAGAACTGTAGGAGACTTGCTTCAATCTTCGCGACGAGGGCGGCACACCGATCTGACTTGTTTATGTGCGGTTTTAGGTTCACGCCAACAGACATGACGATACCTGGCATCTGAAAAGCACCAGCAATACAATTAACTGTGGGTGGAGAAATGACAGAAGAAGATGGAGTGAGAAGCAAGAGATAGACAAATATGACTGAAAAAACATCAGAAATACAATAAATTACGGGATCACAGAAGATTGACAGAGTGAGAACTAAGAGATAGATGCAGTTGAAAGAAAAAACATCTGAAAAAACACAACAGAAACTACCAGGAAATAGTGACGGAAGAAGGTTGATGGGGTGGAAAACAAGGGATAAATGCAGATGACTAGAAAAGGTGGCAAACCCCTTTAAGAACGAAGCAGCAGCAGCACTTACCTCCCTGCTCATGTGGAAGAACCCAATCATAGCACTCAGGCAGAGGAACGCTACAAAGATAAAACAAGTTTTGTTTTCGTACACGGTCAATATTATGCAGATAACGGTGTCCTAATACACTCACGTTTCCTTTGAAGACAAAACTCATTGTCTATATTTATACAAGATACCATGCAAAATTTCCTACCTGATAGAATGACAATTACCCGCTTAAAACAGGGCAAATCTGTTTATTATTAGTAAGTTAATTAGCTCAAGAACAATCTGCTATATACATGAAGCATCTCACCAGTTTTCTCCGGAAGTTCAGAGTTTAGGCACTGAAGTAAAGCAAACGACATCTCTACCACTATGTCTTCATAGTAGGACATCTGAAAAAATTAAAATATATACAGATGATTAATATCTGACAAAGTACACTGCCACCGCCATCTCTCTTATTACATTGTATTATGTTAAACAATGTATAGTGACATTAATTACTATCATGAACAAGGGTATAGACACATTTACTCTATACATGTTGATAGGCCGTGATATTTACAAACAAATATTAGCAACTATTGCATGCAACCCTGATGGAGGGAAAGAATGAATTACATTAATACAGACGTATTACAATAATATAAATACAGGCAGATCTCATATATCGATGTATTTGTATCGACGGAAATTTTCTATTTGTTCAACATAGTTCAGTCAGATTCGGAAAAGATTAGAGCCTTTAACATGTGATTTCAATATACGTTTAACGACAATCCCATATTAGAACAGTCGTCACAGACCTGACTGCCATCTTTATGCGAGATCCGCCTGTAAGAAAACGTATCCAT